AAAAAAAAAAAAAAGTCAATCAGGCTGGAGTGATGGCTCGGAGGTTAAGAGCACTGGCTGCTCTTCCTAATGGTCCTGAGTTCAATTCCTAGCAACTACACGGTGGCTCACAACCATCTATAATGAGATCTGGTGCCCTCTTCTGGCATGCAGGTGTATGTACAGGCAGAACACTGTATACATAAAAAATTTTTTTTGAAGTCAAATCATAAAGAACAGCAATGAAAGACTTTTTATATTATTAGTTCCTGACTGGGATACAACATTATAAAGATGTGAAAAGATAGTGATTTCTAGGGAAGGCTGGGCTAGGTATGGTGGTTCACACCCATAGTACACACATTAGGATGAGGTAGGAGGATTGCTACAAGTCTGATACTAGCCTGTGTCAGAGTCAATTCCAGCTCAGTCTGAACTAGAACGTGACCCAAACCCCCCTACTAAAGATGGATGGAAGGAGAGAAGGAGGGAAAAGAATGAAAAGGAGTTTTATCTGTACAGATATACCTTAGATAAATTTAAATTTAATTTGTAACTATTAATATAAGGAAATACATGAGTTAGGGCCAAGCACTAAAAACAAACAAAACAGTCTTCAGTTAGTCTCACAATGAATTTTTCTATGAGGTTGAGAAATAATAAAATTATTCTGTTCGGCTGTTCAACACAAACCTTTCTTTAAAAAGGTGTAAAAGATACAGATGATGTAGACGGGAAAGTCAGTGCTGCTCTGGTTAGTTTGGGCATTTCTCAGAGCCACAGTAAAAGCTGGAGGGTGACTACCAGCAACTGTCCCGAGGACACTGGTTAACCTAATCACAGGAGCAGACCAACAGTCAAAGGGATCGCACACTGGACCTTGCTTACCTTCGTCATCTGTTTTCGGAAGTGGGGCATCTTTTTCATCAGCTGGGTGAGAGCACTAAGTGATGCCTAGGGGAAAAATTAAGCAAGCCCATGATTCAGTTATTCCACATTGTAGCTTCTCGATCCATAACTTTTAAGTGTTAATAGCTTAGCTAATTTAATAAACATGGTAGGTTTTAAAAGAACTTTAGGAGGCTTTTGGCTCCATCACAGTCAAGCAGCTGACATCAAGTTACTCTTTGCCGTGAACAGATGAAACAGCACCTCTGGGCAACAGATAACCCAGCAGAGTGGGGCAAGCATAGCAGGTGAGCCCTGAGCTCAGCCTGCCTGTCCCAGGGACATTTCCTTCAGGGCTGCCTAGATAGACTTCAGAGTCTAAGAGTTATACAGAAAAAGGAACCAGGCAGAACAGATAAAAGCGCATACACTGGCTGTTCTTGAACCCCTATTCTGCACAATATGGGATATAGTACTCAGAGGCCTGATGGAGAACAGCTAGGTAGTTAAGCACTGACAGAGATTTCAAGAGAACCTCAGTGCTAAGGACATGGTAGCAAGCTCTGACTCAGACAAAACAAAAAGATTTAAGTGAAACTCTAGACATTCAGATCACTTCTCAAATAACCAAAACCAAAAATGAAAGAAAGAGGAAAAACCTATTCCAAATCCCCTGCAATCTGGCTAATGATGAGAAGGAAATGACTAAACAGAAACAGTGGGAGGGAAGTTAAAAATCAATATTTTAAACGTCCAACTCAAAGAGCTAGAAGGAAACTAAATGAAACAAAGTTGAAGGGCATTAAGACTGTGTATAAATAAACTAAATCCAAAATTAGCCCAACAGAGCCAGCAAGATGCTCAGCAGGTAAAAATGCTGGTGGCCACGAGAGCTCAATGATGTCCTACAAACCAAACCAAACCCCTCTTCTATGCACTGATGAAACTGACTAAATGGCCCCTAAGAACGAAATTTAGATGGGAGTAACACAGATAAAATGTCACTAATTTTTGAAAATGAGGTAATGGTTGCATAGTTTATTTTTTCTATTTCTCTGTATTAGAATGGTCCCTAAATAGAAAGCTAATGGTACTTTTCATCTTTTTCATTTTCAACTGTGTTTATAATTTGCCTTTGCAGGGCCAGCAAATTGGCTGAGTGTGTAAGAGCACTTGCTGTGCAAGCCTGATAGCCAAGTCCCAAAAGCTGTCTTTCGATCACATGCACAAATGCATGCACACACCCAGACACAGGCATGCACATGTATACTCTCCCTCTCTGTGCACACATACACACACACACATGCACACGAACTCACAACACACGGGCACACACACATAAAATGACCTGTGCACTGTCCAGCTGTAATCTAACAGCGGGCAGCCAGAGGCAGAAGCTCCTGTTTGAGGTCATCGTCAGCTGCACAGTGAGACTGACCTCGACCTGAGGCCAGTCACTTGAGACTGTTGCTAAAAATAACAAATTTTAAAAATGTACCTTTTTATCACTCTGGAAGACCCTTACCTTCCCCTCTGTGGCTTTCTTTGTTGAAGATATTTCCTTCATGAGCTTTGGGATTTCCCTGTGGGTGAGAGAAAACGTGTGTTAGTTCTGAGCAGGCCCGTTAGGCTGTGAACCTCTGAAGAGTTACAGTGCTCACGTACTCCAGCACCACAGCGATGTGCCGGTGCCGCACCCGCACCCACAGGTCGTCATCCTCCTCCAGGATCGCCTCCTTCTCCTTCCCGTCAGTTCTGTATCTGCGATGGAGCCAGGAGAAGATTTTTGGATTTCCTACCTCAAAAAGTGGAAGAAGCACTTTTCCTAACAACACTTGAAAAACAAACTGAGAAGCACAGAGTCGGTATGTTACCTGAGGGGTCACACCGCAAAGCGGATTAAAATCCTTCTCTTAGAAACTTAGGTTAAAAGTCTTGGCAGAACATCATCTCACAAAGCAAAACTTCCGCATCCCACGGCCAGCTCTAAGAGTAGAACAGCTGGCTACCGTGGCACTTTGAAGGCAGAGGTCAGGACAGGAGTCAAGGTCATCCCACAATCACGCTCAGGGCCAGCCCGGGTTACATGAGACCCTGTCTCAAACAGCAGAGACTACAAAACACTCATCAAAGAATGGCAAAGCGGAAGCCACAAGCACTTGTGTCTAATCGCTTAGATGACTGATATGCTAACAACTTACAGCTCAACTATCAAATATCTGTTAAGAACCCCTAAGTGGGACACACCTGTAACCCTAGCACACCCCAGCACTAGGGGAGGCAAAGGCAGGTGGATCTCTGTGAGTTTAAGGCCAGAGTGGTCTACAAAGTGAGTCCAGGACAACCAAGGCTACACAGAGAAACCCTGTCTTGAAAAATCAAAACCCCCCAAAAAACAGAAGAACTGCTTACACCAGTTCCCTTGTTGAAAGTGTTTGGCACAAAATTCACAAACAACACACACCATTTGCTGCTTGCTCCTATCCCACCCCATAATCACACCTCTGTTAGAGTAGGAAGAAATGAGAAAAACTAACGTGTTCTACTGGAGTAAGCAGCAATTCAAGAGGTTCATGGAAACTGTGCAATGGGCTTTTTGACTGGTTTCCTTAATGTAATTTCCTTTTTTCCATGCAGATACTTTCCTTCCATTTTGGAGGTCGGGAAGACTCAGCTTGGGAATGTTAATTTCCTGAGGCAATATTAGGGACTACATATCAATTTCTTAGTTCTGAACTAAGGACAACACATGTATATTTCTGCTATATGAATACAATAATTCCTATAACCCCAAACTTATAGTCTCCATTTATAAAACAATCTTCCTATATGGTCTTAGTTAAGATAAAATGACTGTTTAATGTTAAGGCTGACCTGAGGATTGCCATGCAGAATACAATATGTTCTTACACAATATCTTTGCTGGTTAAGTGGCTTATAAGCAAACCAGTAGGACACTCCCAGCACTCCCAGGCAGAAGCGGGTGGACCTCTGTGAGCTCAAGGCCAGCCTGATGTACATAATGAAATGCAGGCCTGCAATGGCTACATAAGGAGACCCTGGCAGCATGTGTGTGGTAGCGACTAGGAAGTGAGCTCTACTAGAGTGTGCTGAACACAGGAGTGGCCAGCAGACAACTAAATCAAAGGGGAGGGGCACAGGTGATGTGAGGCTCAGGGACTATTTCATCCACTTTGCCTTTTGCTCTGAGGAAAACGGAAAGCCATGTAAAGGTTCTGAGTGAAGCGATATGCAGTGACAAAGACCTTAGTGGGATTTTCTTTCTCCCCTGAGCTGGGAAAAGACTGAAAGAAGCAGAGCATTAGAGATCAGTTATATAGTTTGCAGGAAGACAGTGAGGTGGAGGTCATTCTGGGCAGCTTCATGAGCTCGAGGCTAAGTCTGCTATCATAAGCCAACAACAACAACAACAAAAAGATAGGTCTTTAAAATGTAGTCAGAAAGACTTATTACCGAATTGAGTGTTTCTGAACTTGATTGGCCATGACTTGAAATTGTGGCCTGAGTACGTTAACTATGAGATAGGAGCTGCATTTACAATAGTGAGCACTGGCTGTGCGCTCTGAAGAGACCACCAAGCAGCTCAGGTGTGGAAGATATTCACAAGGGAGCTGAGGAGGTAAGGCTCAGAACACACATAACATGGGAGCCAATGGCAGACAAACGTTGAGACTACGTGCTTCTGAAAGTGTGTGAACAGAATTCTAAACTAAACACCAGACCATTCCAACCCCAAGAAGGAAGGATTAAGGAGCAGTGAGACCAGACTTGTGGATTTAGCAACACAGAGGGCTCAGCGGACTAAAACACTTGAAGTAGGAGGCTGCAGCCTGACTTTCTGAGTTTGACCACTGGCACCCAGGGTGGAAGGAGGAAACCCACCCCACATAATTGTCCTCAGAACTCCACACAGACGGTGTGACACATGTACCTACATATGTGTGTGCATGCACACACACACCACCATGACACTTCTATTTTTAGGAAGAAATCATTTCATATGTGAAAACTGATGGAGCAATTTATATTCCCACATCAGTCTTCTCTCTGAATTTGTGTGACTCAGTGAAAGAGGGTATAGCTGTCTTTTAAAAAATTAACTCCCTTCCTTATTCTTTTTAAAAAAGATTTTTTTTTTAATGTACATTGGTGTTTTGCCTGCATTTGTGTCTGTGTGAGAGTGTCAGATCCCTTGAAAGAGGGATTACAGAAAGTTGTAAGATGCCATGTGGGTGCTGGGAATTGAACCTGGGTCCTCTGGAAGAGCAGCCAGTGTTCTTAACTGTTCTTAACCCCCTCCTTATTCTTTTTTTTTTTTTTTAAGATTTATGTATTTATTATTTATACAGTATTCAGCCTGCATGTGTACCTGCAGGCCAGGAGAGGGCACCAGATCTCATTACAGATGGTTGTGAGTCACTATGTGGTTGCTGGGAATTGAACTCAGGACCTTTGGAAGAACAGCCAGTGCTCTTAACCTCTTGAGCCATCTCTCTAGCCACCCCCCCCATTCTTAAACAATTAAATCTTTGTTTGCCAGAAAGCCTGGAAAGAACACATTTTAATACTAGATGAGTACTGTCCAAAACATCTGTCCAGTCTAGAACCAAATTCTCTATTGTCTGATAACAGATTCTTTTCAAAACCTACTAAGCAATGTAGCTTGAGACCTAAAGGATAACAGGGACATAGAAAATACTTCTGAAAATTCCAAACACACTGTTGAAAACAACTTTCACAATAGAAAAACAACTCTACTGATTTCCTACCTAACACTGATACAAATAATAACAAAAGAATAAAAAATAGATGATAAAATTTTAAAAAATCAGGATTTAACTGAAATGCAAGTAAAAACACAACAGAAATAAAAAAAATTAAGAAAAATTGCAAAGTACAGTAATTATCAAATGTATCTGTTTAATAAAACTATTGATTAATTAGGTTACTTTGTGGTATGGATTTAATGTAGGACCTCATACATGCTAGGCAAGTGCTCTACAACCAAGTCTTTTTTATATTAATTTATTTAAAAAAATTTTTTTTTAAGTTGGAGTCTCACCAAATTGCCCAGTCCAGCCTTGAACTTGTGATCCTCCTGCCTAAGCCTCCCTAAGCCGCCCAAGCAGCTGGGTCTGAACCACTGGACCCAACTCAACAAGTTAAAATAAACAAAATTTCATAAAACTAATTCTGGCTCAAAATCCACTTTGCAGCCCAGGCTAGCATCAAACTCCTGATTCTTCTGCTGAAGGTTCCCAAATGCTGGAATTACTGAGGCGTGCTGTATGCCTGGCTTCACAGAGCAAATCTTGGCTGAAAAAAGCCTATTTGGATTTGGAGACCTTGATGTCAAACAGCACAATGTGTGTGTGTGTGTGTGTGTGTGTGTGTGTGTGTGTGTGTGTGTGTACACGCAAATTTTGTGACAGTAAGTAAAATGGTTTCTTAAGAAAAGCTATTTCCCTTACTCGCCCTTACTTAAAGGTTACGTCAATAATTATGAACAGTAAAACTGTGCCTTTCTCAGTAGCCACTGTACTGTGTTTCCAGTGTCTCTGAAATAAATTACACTGGCAAGACACCTTTAGGTATATAATTTAGAATAAACACAGCCTAATCATTTTGAATACAATATATATGAAATATAACAATGGGCCTGGAATTTAATCTGAATGTAAGTAAAAAGTCTGACTTGAACTTGTTTAAACGCAGCGTTGTAGAACAGTTATGGAAGCCAGTCCACTTAAAAGCTTTGAGGCAAGCTGCTTGTTAGTTCATAAAGTAAACACTGTCAGGGTTACAGTTACAGGAGTGAGAGAGAGAAGGACTCTGAATAAACAGGTTACCAAGTCTTTCAGATTTCTGCTGCCATTGTAAGTCATTAAGAAGTCTGTCTGCCCTTTAGAAGCCCTTCAATTTATACTTGCTTGTATGTATCATTCTCAATTGGTAGTAGATCATATGCCATTGCCTGAAAGGTCAGTTCATGCAGGACAGTGGACACAGGATCAAAGCCACGGTCAATTATTAAGAGCTGGGAATGAGTTTTACCCTAGAATAACAAGATAAAATGATCTTAAGAAATTTCAGTACCTTTATGTGAATACATTTTTAATATCTTAGAAAGTAAGTTTAATCCTTTCCCTCCACAAAAACATACAATAAAACAAAACAAATGGCTAACTGCCTTAAGAATGCGAAATTATATTAAAACAAAAATATGAATGGCATAGTAGGGAAAAACAAGACTACACAACTATCATTTTCATGACTAGATTATGAGGCTAATTTTCTTTGAGGAAGTAACATTTGGCTTTTCCTAGATAGTTTTTCTTTCTGTTTTCCTAGTACAAGGTCTTTGCTATGTATATATCCCAGGCTGGCCTTGGACTCACCATCCACCTGCAGCTTCCCATGTGCTGGCCCAAGACACCTACGACTGTACCTGGCCAAAGTTATCTTCCTGCACATTCAGTTCCACAAACAACAAAGCTGACATAAATTAGGAAGAGTAGCTACTACTTGAGTTCTTTGTGCTAGACATTTGCTAGTCAAGAAAGACGTTTGATTTCAGAGAGGCACTGCCTCACAGTTCTTACAGTATCCCTTCCAGACAGATATCATCATATACACATAACAAAGAAACTATTCAAGTTTAAGATTAATTCTCCAGGTCATACACGGCTGCCAAGTGGCAGAATAGAGCTTTAAACACAAGCCAGTTCTATTTCAATACTTGTATTTTGAACTATTATGCAATTTTAAGAGAAGAGATTGTATTAATCAGAACTAAGATTATAAATCATAATAAAGACCCTGTTAACATTAATTGGAAAACAACACCAACTGCTCAACAGTGAGTGAGTAATGCTGTTGGGAAATTGCACTGCGAATGTTTGAATACTTTCCAATTCTTTTTGGGGGAGGGGATGGTGGCAGTGGGAAGCAAACCCAGGGTTTCATGCAACGCAGATGTTCTACCTCCAAATTACATCCCCTGCCCTTTTTTTCACTTTTGATTTTGAGATAGGCTAGCCTTGAGCTCACTGTGTACCACAGGCAGGCCTTGAACTTGTGATCTTCCTTCCTCAGCATCCAAAGTAACTGGGATTGCAGGCCTGTGGCACCCATCCTGGTTCACACTTCACTCTTAAAAGCAACAATTCTTTAGCTTATTAGTCAAAGAAGTAAGAGGTAACTAGCTACAACTCAGACAATGTTCCTATTTATTTACACATAGCAAACAGAGGTTAAGTCACATCAGTTAGACTTAAAATACATTTGTGTTAGTTACTGACTCTCCTAATCAAGACTGAAACAAAATGTACAGTGATAGAGTATTTAGAAATCATATCTGGGTAAGTTCAGCTGCAGTTGGTTTCTTGACCTGTATGACCTTGGCCAAATTTCTCAACCTCTCATACATTAGTATTTGCTTGGTAAAAATTATATAAAATGAGAGAAGCTCTCCCTTAAAAGATTGTTGTGAAGGTTAAATGCATTACCACAAAATACAATATACCTAAGCTGAGAGTCTGCAGAAACACACAAACAAAAAGGCAGTACTGTGTATATGATATAAAAGTTTGGGGATATGAAAGACCACGGTAGTGTCACTTGGCTTGAAGAGTCAGGAAGAACTTCAAATAAAGGTAAGCCTTTATCAGGTGCTTGAATAAAAAACAAAACAAACAAACAAACAAACAAACAAAAACGGTATCAAGCAATTGAAGGATGTATACCTTCCCAGGAGAAAGAATAAAAAGAAAGAGGTGGGAAGAAAGCATTTTGCTTTTTTCCCCACCGAAACTGTGTAGGACTAAAGAGATATTTACTGTCATTGCTTGATTTAACAAATACTTTTGTCCACTGCCTACTATGTTTATTAAGACACTCTACTTTCATAACCGTATAATAGCTCTCACTTACATCTCTGAGACAAAAGTCAGTAACTTTTCAAGTAAACCAGCATAACATCTAAATTGACACCTTCCATTCATGTTAACACTGAACTTTACCTTTCTATGTCTCTCCCCAAAGAATCCTGTTACTCCTGCAGAAGCTCCCTCTTTATCACACTGCCACCAAGCTTGAAGCTCAAGGGCCTCTCCCTGTAGGATGCCTTCTAGGACCGCTTTAGAGTAAGATAAACCCCAGCCTGGGCTGCCACTGTGTTCTGTGAATTCCTCTCAAGCCGTTTACTGCATAGTGCTCCCAACCGGAGGCTCCCTTGGCCACCACCCCTTCCAAACTATGACAGCTCCTGCCTTTACTCTGCCTTTACTCTATGATATGGCTTCTAGTGACAACACTTGTCCATCTCCTTCCTCATGCTCTTCCTTCTCCAGCCACACCTACATGGGGCACTGTCCAGGTCCCAACCTTAGTCTTTGATTATATTACATTATTTTTAGAAGACAACAACAAACTCTTACATGCACAAGTTTGTAGAAGACAATAACAAACTTTGTGCATGTAACAAACTCTTACATGTACAAAATACTTAGATGTTACCTCACCAAATTCTCATTCCAACCAAAAAAGGCACCCCTGGCCTCATCTATTTCAGAGATAAGAAACACTCGGGTTGCAGAGCTAGTCACAGTGGGAAGCCCAGCACATGTTAAATACTATTCGGAAGATTTTGTCCACATCAACTCATGTAATCCTTTCATTAGCGTAAAAGTAGGCATTATTATTTCCACTTTACAAAGACAAAAGTTTAGTTCGAGGAAGTTCTGAAATTCACCTTAGTTAACATAATTATCGATCAAATGGCAGAGCCAAGATGTGGACACACTGCTGACTTCAAAGCCTCCAGCCTCCCCCTCAACCACACTGCCAAACTGCACTATCTACTAAAGTCTCCACTTAAGGGTTCTCAAATCCGAACTTCAGCTCCATCTTAGTGGTCCCCAAATCAATACTAGAAATGAATGAACAGGTTGCTCTGATTTATAAAAGAAATGCAAACTTTAGATAGTCATTATTTGCCATTTATAAATTACCTTTATTAGGCCATTTTCATCAATTTTGTAGTAGTCTTCAAGTTTTTTTTCAACCAGTTGTGCAAGCTTACTGGCATTATCTAGAGGTTTACTAAAAATGGAAAAAATATTTTAATAATTATCTTTCAGAACATACTTAACTATATTATAATATTAAATCCTAAAATAAGATTTTGCAATCTTAGGTTTAGAAAATGCAAAAATTTATAAACAAGGAATACCATAGATATCAAACATGTCACATAATTGCTGTAGCCTCAGCATGTGCTTCAGATATTTTAATATGAAGGAATACAATATTACATATAAAGTGCTCTTCCTGTACTCCCTCGGTCACTACACAGGATTCTATGTATTCAGTCCCCGGAAAGAACACGAACACCAGCAACAGTCTCAATTCACACCATTATAAGCAACAGGGGAACAAATATGCCTGGCACACTTCTCATGTACACCGCACGTGAAGGCAAGAATCCTGGGCTAGAGGCTACCTGCATGTTCAGCTTCTCTACACATCACCAAATTGCTTTCCAAGTGAGGTGACAGTTACCCCCACTAGCGGTGTGGCATTTCCCTCACATACTCTCTTTTACTCCCTCTTCCGACACAGCTAGCTCTTCAAGCCCTGTGTGCTCTGCCTTATGAAATGGTAGCACGGGGTGGAGCTACGCCTCGGTGGTTTAAAGAGCTACTGCTCTGGCTAGGGACCTGCACTTTGTTTCTAGAACCCACATGAGGCAGCAGACGGCTGCCTGTAACTCCAGGTCCTCTCTGACCCCTGGGGTAACTGCACACACGAGGTGCAAGCAAATCCATGCAGGTACAAACACACACACATCAACAGAAGTAAGTAAATATGTAATAGTAAAATATAAGACACACTTTAAATGGTAACTTCATGATCAGGGTTATTAGTCTATTTTACAAACCCACAAGAAAACTGTTGGAAAATTCTTTTCTTTCTTTTTTGTTTTGTTTTGTTGTTTTCAAGACATGACTTCTCTGTGTAGCCCTGGCTGTCTTGGAACTCACTCTATAGACCAGGCTGGCTTTGAGCTCACAGATATCCACCTGCTTCTGTCTCCCCAGTGCTGGGATTAAAGGTATGTATCACCACTGCCAGGCTGGAAAATGGTTTTCAACTAGCACACTAACCTGAAAAACAGGAAATGGAGGACAGAGCCTCATATGAGGCTTTTAAGTGTTTAAGAATCTTTCAGTTTTACACTCGGTGTAAAGGTAGACTAACCAGGTGGTGGCACACCCCTGTGATCCCAGCACTCTGTGGGGCAGAGGCAAGTGGATCTCTGTGAGTTCAAGGCCAGCCTGGGCTACAGAGCAAGTTCCAGGACAGCAGGGACACACAGAAAAACCCTGTCTTGAAAAAAGAAAACAAATAAAATAAATTAAAATAATAATGATAATAATAATAATTTTATTTTATAATTTACCTTAAAAGTCTATATAGCATAATGGAGTATTCTATTAAAGTACAGGTAGAATTTGTATATTAGTGATACGTGTGTATGAGTTGACCTGTGTGTCGGTGTGCATGCATGTGTATGTGTGTATACGCCTGTGTGCGCGCGTGTCTGTGCTTATGGAGGCCGGAGGTCAACACTGGGGCTTTCCTCTGTCACTCTTTATTTTCTGAGGCAGGGCCTCTCACTGAACCTGATGCTCACCCTTTCAGCTAGACTGGCTGGCCTCTGTTACAGACACACGCAGGCGTGCACCACTCCAGCCAGCTCTGCTGGTGATCTGAACTCAGCCATCTCCCAGCCACACAATGTTTATATTTCACTTAAATTTAAAAATAATAATAAATAATTATAATTGCAATAAATATTAACAAGAAAATCGTTAACAATTAAATCTTATTACTACTATAACCATCAATAAACACTTATAACAATGTCAACAAAATATTAATATAGTAATTGATAATAGATTTAAAACATCAAAATCTTCATTTTTCATTTTTAAGTGAATCAAAACATGTCTGTAGGTAAACTATTAATTATAAAATGGTTTATGCTTACTCACTTCCTGAGCATAACCCAGATGCTTAAAAGACACTGTCTACTAAGCCCAGACTGTAATTAGCATATTATTTCAAGTTTTCTAATTCCCAAAATAAAAAGCTTATTCAGTAACATCTGAGTAAAGAGAGTCATTACATTGCTTTAGTAACAGTAGAGTTTACTCTGTTTTACATTTGTTTACTTGTAAACACTAGCATGGACTAGTGCAGGTGTAGCGGTCAGAGGACAGCTTGTGACAACTGATTCTCTTCTTCCAGACATAGATCCTGCAGCTCAAACTCAGAGCTTCCATCCCGCCCTGGGTAGTAAGCCCCTTTACCTGCTGAGCCCTCTTGCCAGCTCCCAGCAGCAGAGTTTAGAAGGGCTACATAAGAGCAATAAGGTTTACAGTAGTGCATAATTTGTGGTTAAATGTCTCACCCATCAACTGGACAAACGCCCATCTTCAGATGAAGAACTGGCTCAAAAGCCAGGGATGCACATGCAGCAGCAGACTGTGTTACTACATTTTTAGTAATTTACAGGTGAGTCATTCTAACAACCCCATGAGAAAACTATATCATCATTCTCATTTAAAACTGTAAATTCTAGGACTTAAATTCTAAAAATAGATTAAACACAGCCACAAGCAGAGGCAGGATTAAAACTCAAGTGACTGACACAAAACTATGAAACAAACAAAATCCTATGGTCCCTTCTATACATACCAGTTCAAAATTAGGCAAAACTACGCTGCATGTCAAAGGTGAGCAGCAGCTTGCTCTAGGAAGGGAAAAGGGAGGTGAAAGGGAGGAAGCAGGGGTTCTTTGGGATACTGTGGATGCTGTTTTTCACAGGAGGGTCAAACAGCTACTGTTCACACTGGAATGAACCAACAAACTTTATACATAAAATGAATGCACTTTACTGTAACTTCATTTTCATAAAGAAACAAGTAACTAAAGATGTAGTATAAAAGTTGAAGCTGGGTGCGGTGGCACACTCTTGTAATCAAGGGCAGGCAGATATCTGTGAGTTCGAGGCCAGCCTGGTTCTGTCTACAAAGCAGATCCAAGGCTACACAGAGAAAACCCCTGTCTCGAAAAACAAAAACAACAACAAGAAAGTTGAACTTTACTTCTTTTTAAAAATTGTAAATTTATTTAAAATGCCCGCTGGGATCAAATATTAGAAGTGCTTACATACTGTAACAAGTGTCCAGATAATGTAGCCATGTAAATTTGGTGGAAATGTAATGATAAGCTATTAAAATGCCAATATTACAGCCAATAAAACAGCCCTCAAACATTCCTAAACCTGATTTAAAAAAAAAAAAACAAAAACTTTCTAAAAATAAATGAAATCAAATTTAAGCTCTGAAACTCAGTAACAGAGGCGATCTGAAGCCTAAGCCTTCAGTCTTCTTTATGCAGAGGCTGGCAACCATACAAGGAAAATCTACTTGCCCTGTCACCGATGGGCAACATGCCCACACTGCCAAGCCTTACCTCTTATACCTCACCCCAGGGTTTTCATCCAGAGTGGCACACACTGTCACAATCTGCTCAGCCATTGCTTCCATGATTGCTTCTTTCTTGCTGGCATTACTAGGGTCTGGACTGTAACAGTAATAGAATGCGTCTGGTACATCAAGAGTATAAACCTAAGTTAGGCCAAAAAAAGTTACACTGTCAATCTAGAGACTTGATTCTAAAAATGTATCAAGAATGCAGCTGTGGTTGCAGACATTAAAGGACAACTGTTGCAGGCTGTTTCAGGAAACAGCTATTTTTAACCCTACTCAGATCTCCCGGACTCACCTTTTACCCTCCACCCCTTCTCATTCTCCTCCTGTTTAGTCTACCTCACTCCTTCAACTTTTGTTTCAAATAGTGAATGAACTGACTGCTTTTTTACAACCTGTGCAACAGAGGAAGGAATCTAAAGTAGGGAATCATCAAACTAAAAACATCTAATGCTTGGCAGAAAGGAAGATGTAAAAAATCTTAACCCAACACAGAATAATGCAGAAACTTCCCAAGGCTGATATATATTTTTAATGGTTTAGCTTACATTCACATCCTTAAAGATTTTCTTCCCCAAGTCACTGTGAAAGACACAAGACTTAACATAAATCCAATGAAACCTCACAGATATATTCACTCACTCAACTAACAAATGCATTTCCTTATGTGAAAAGAAGTGGGATAGCAGCCTCTTATTAGTGTTATTTCAGAGAGAGACAGGAAGTTGCTGAGAGTTCCTTGAGAGTTCTCCAGTAAACTAACTTCGGGGTTTTCAAACATAGTGACAGAAAGCTGGGCTATGATGGCACACTCACTATTCAGGAGTCAGGGGCAGGTGGATCTCTGAGTTCCAGGCCAGCCTGGTCTACAGAGCAAATTCCAGGACTGACAGGGATACAAAGAGAAACACTGTCTTAAAGAAAAAAAAAAAAAAAAAAAATAGTAAGAGTGATCCCTTCTCAACTTAGATAAGGCATTGGCTGTAGGAATGGATAAAATAAGTGGCAAATACAGGTTATGTAACAAGTTACAAATGAACTCCCCTGCTTTTCCATTCACTCAAAGTCACTTACTCTCTGAACATAACCAGCTACCAATAGCAGCAGCCTGAACATAGACTGAAGTTCAGCTGTGTCAGTCCAGGGTCTCTGCTCCCAAAGGCTTGACTGCTGTGTCATTACCAAGCAACAAACACTCTGCATATGAACTGTCACCTTACAGTATACTATTCTGCAGCAGGTAATTCGATTTGTTCAGAAATGTTATTATCCTATGCCTAAAAGATTTCTCCCTATGGCAGATCTCAACCTGTGGGATCCAACAACCCCTTTGAAGGTCAAATGACCTTTCATAAAAGTCACCTAAGACCATCCAGAATATCACATATTTACGATTCATATCAATAGCAAAATTATAGTTATGCAATGGCAAAGAAAATAATTTTATGGTTGGAGATCATCACAGCATTAGGAAGGCTGAGAACTAACGCCCTATTGGAACGTAGTTCCCACCACTGATGTCTTGACTATGGAATGTTAGTAGAAGAGGCATGTAACATGTAAGAAGCTCTAAGGACCGTTTTGTGTGTCTGTGTGTGTGTGTGTGTGTGTGTTGGCGCACACACACACACACGCACATGAGTGTGGTGGGGCACAGAGGGTAAAAACTCAGCTGTAGAGTGCTGATCTGACATGTTCAAGGTCCTGGGTTGGAGTTCCAACACCAACCAAAAACAAATCCCAACAACAAAAATGACGGACAAGAGCAACAAAAACAATTGTGTAGTTCCAACATTTTCTCTTTCCCAGTTACATCTGCACTTTCTTCTTCGGCTTAGGTCCCAGAATATAGAAGATACAAATCATGCCAATCACAATGACTTCTAAGACTCCACCTTTCCTTTAAGCCTTTGGGATCAGTCCCAAGTTCTCTGCACCACTCCTCTGTAACTATTATCCTGAAGGAGCTGGAGCCCCAGTAGTCAGTCTCAGGCAACTTCCGGAAAGCCAGCTCTTGCTCTGACCCACATTTCATTTGCTCCCACATCTTTCTGTTCTATATCTTTTTATTCAGATTATTTTTATCGCCTAGAATGTGTTTCTTAAGTGCTACCTTCTAAAATTTTATTTATCTTTCAAATGCTTCCCCTGTCTCCTAGTAAACACTCCTTTCGTGGCTGACTGTGACAGGTGTCCTCAACAAATATATTCTTCTTACTTTACAGTAATGACTCCAGCTCACTGGGCAGTATAGCTACACATGTCCATCTCAGGCGTTTTCAATTTCCCTTGTGCTCAGTGTAGTCATGTAAGTGAATTTTAGCTAATACAGTATAAATGAAGATTTTTACTTCATTCGGTCTCTCCACTTATTATATATCTTCTGTTGTCCTGCTTCCTCAAATAGGAATATTAATTCTATAGTCATCTGGCTCATGAAGGGAATGCCTAAAAGAACAGGCTCCCGACAATTCTGCAGATCTACTGTGTAAGGTTTATAAAGCCCATTTCTGGACTTGTTATGAAGGAAGAAATACATTCTCACACACTTAAGAGTTTAGATTTTCCTGTTGTACTCAGTTGAACTTAATCTTAATTGATACAACTTTTGGATACTTTGTGTCTTTCACAGTTCTCAAATCAGGCTAGACCAGCTACTATGCTCATCATTTCACAGAAACTACCTTGAATCTAGCAGATAATCTCTAGCTGCTATAGAGTCTCACTCTCTGGACCACGCTAGCCTTATACTACTGCCTTTGCCTCACCAGTGTTGGCATCTTAGGCATGCTCCATCGCACCCTGCCCTGAACCAATATTATGATTACATGTTCAGATAAACCTCTGCTCCTAGCTTAAAGCACTTAGTAGTATTCCACATTATTTGCAACATGTTTTTATTCTCATCAAAATTTCCCATATCAATTAAACTTATTAGGTAAAACGAGGCATGGTATTGGACATTTGGAATCCTAGTACTTAGTAGATAGAATCAGACACTACCTCAAAAAAAAAAAAAATTTTTTTTTTTTAAATTCTCCTAAGAGGTAGATCAAGAAAGCAGATTAGAAGAAAAAAACTTAGAAAAAAATACATGGAGAGGACCTTAAATAATCGTATTTCACAGATTGGTAGTAAAATTTTCTCAAGGGACTTCTTTATATACATAGACATTTTCTGCCATAAGCCATCAACGTAAGTCATGTTGCTATGAAATTCCTTCCTGCAAACTCAGCAACAATAGGATTTTAGTGAATTTTGGGAGTAAAATTATACCTGTTGGGAAGTGATGTTCTAGAACTGTCCATAGCATTTACTACACTACTGTTTATATCACACATGATTTCAGGACACCTATTTTCATCCTATATTAAACTTAACATTATTTAACTTAACATTTATTGTACTAAAAGATGAATTTTAAGAAAACATAAATAAATTCTTAAAATCTTTCAATTTAGATTATGGTCTTTGTCACAAACAGCAAAGCTTAAAAGAGGAATCTAATTGAATCTAGGATCTTCCTATCCCCAAACACTGACCAGATAGTTTCAAAAGATCCCTAAAAATTCCCCTATAAAGACTAAAATCTAACACAGAGTAGAATCAGCCTACCTATTCCCTGGTTGTGTAACTTGAAGTACGTTATTTAAACTCTTAAATTTTCAGGCTTTAAAGTGGTACAGAAGCTGGGCATGGTGGTGCACGCCTTTAGTTACAGCATTCAGGAGGGACTGTTAAGTGACTGAGCTCCAAGCCATCCTGGTCTACATAGAAAGTTCCAGGACAGCCAGGGCTATAAAGTGAAACCTTGTCTTAAGACAAAACAAAACATGGGAACAGAATTACACACAGTACTACCGAGAAGACAAAGCTACTAAATTTGTGCAAAGCAACCGAGAAAATTATCTGACGGAGTTACTACCATCATCCTCACTATTATTAATCAAAGGCTCATTAACGGCGTCAAAGGCAAACTGGCGAATACCCTTTATTTCATAGTTATTTTATATACTATCCAATATTTAAGTTTGTCTAAATATCATAAAGAATTGCAAAAGCTAAAAGTCTCTGAATTGTCTAACAAAATGGAGATGAAACTTAGCAGACACAGCATTTGGAGCCAGATGAGAAATGTAAGCCCCCTTTTCGTTATTAACGTTTGTCTTCCAATTTTTGTTCATGTTTCTCAATTTATCACGGGAAGTTTACTGGGAGATTACACACAAATTTACCAAATACCCACATAAAACATTCTCAGACCATGCTTTAGTAACAAGCTCATAAAACCAATTCTGAAAATTCATTATGAACAAAAATGTTAAAATGAAATTACCAGTACCTGAGATTCATGTGGAATAAAGGAAATGTTTATTTCTTTACATCTTCTTATTGACTTGGAACAAGATGCTTTAATCTTGTTAAAGAGACTGTCAGGACAGACTGAGGGAGGAAAAAGCACAAGTCCATCTAAATCTTTACTTCTTTTGAATAAATCATCCCAACATGTAAGAATACTTTTATATGCAATGACTGGAGTTTGTAAAGCAAGCTGCTCTGTAGACAGAGACACTATTACACGGCACGAGACAGATGAGGAAAAAACAGGCTTCTTTAGTTGTTATTTTCTGGAACAGGGTTTCTCTATGAAGCCTTGGTTGTCCTGGAACTTGCTCGGTAGACCAGGCTGGCCTCAAACTCAGATATTAGCATGACTCTGCCTCCCGAGTGCTGGGATTAAAGGTGTGTGTCACCACACCTGGTTTCACATTTTTTATTGACATATAGTTACATAACACAACATAAATGTCTTAGGGCTTCTTTCCTGTCTTTTGCTTTCTGTATAAATGTGGACTATGGGGAAAATATCATAGATTTTTCTCCCATAAAATATACCAAACAGAAGGGCTTTTTTTCTCTGGTACTTTCCCATGGCTTCTTTCTAATAATAGGATGCTCAGTTACAATTTTGATTAAGATTCCAAAACACTTATACATGTCAACTAAAAAGCAGACACTCTAAAATTAATAGATATTAAACAATGAGGTAATACTCTTTAGAAAGGAACTTACAGTCAGTGAAGTATAAATATGCTGCTTTATATTTGTTCTCAGATTTACTTCCAAAATCTCGCAAGAAACAATCTACAGACTTTAAAAAAAAATGAGATATTAACACATATTTTATTAAATACTGATTTAAATATGCTAGCTATAAAGTAACCAAGATTATTTTATTTCAATAAAATAACTTCTTACTGGCTAAAAGTTTAACTTATAAACTGACTTTTAAATAACCATTTCTCTGGCTAGTGATAGCTATTAAGGCAAGAGTCATAAACATAAAAGATAAAGAAATATATCTTTCAAAAAAAGACTTATTTACCTAAGTTTTCATCTATTCTAAAATTAAGCAAGGGTCAACAGGAGTTATGTGAATCTCAAATGCTATAAAGAAACCAGCATTTTATATAATTAAATACGGCTACAGATTCAATGCAATTCCCATCAAATTACCAACACAATTCTTTACAGACCTTGAAAGAAAAATTCACAACTTCATATGGAATAACAAGAAACCCAGAATTGCTAAAACAATCTTCTACAATAAAAGATCTTCTGGAAGTAAATAATCCCTGATCTCAAGCTGTACTATAGAGCAACAATACTAAAAACTGCTTGGTACTGGCATAGAAACCTACTGGTAGATCAATGGAATTTAATAGAAGACCCTGAAATAAACCCACACACTATGGACACCTGATTTTTGACAAAGATTCCTTATTCCTTATTTCTTAGTGGGAATAGTACAAATTAAAACATAACACAGAAAACATTTTGTAAGTAAAGCAGCTAAAGGAAATAGTCTTCTACTTAGGCATATTTAAAACTCTGAAAGAGAAACTTGTTTTTGTTTGTTTTATAGCCAGGGCTGAGGGGCAGGAGAGATGGTTCAGCAGTTACAAGCACTGCTGCTCTTGCAGATCTGTGTTCAGTTCCCAGGCACCCACACTGGGCAGCTCACACTTGCCTATGACTCCAGTTGCAGGAATCCAATACCCTCTTCTGGCCTCCATGGGTACCTGCACCCACTTGTGCACATACAAAAACAAACAAACAAACAAACAAACAAAAAACAAAACAAAAACCCAAAAGCAGAAACAGTAGCATATACCCAAAATAAAAATCTATTAATATGTTCAAAGTGCAATGAATCTTGCACATGGAAAGCACACACTCTAACACTGAGCTATACCCCAACCCAAACATTCACTCTTAAGATGAAATACTCACTTTTGATGTTGGAGAGATAAAATAAAGAGCTTTCATTTGTCTGACAGGTTCACGATTCTTATAGATGTTCTCTATAACTGACAACAACAAAAACAACAAAAGTCATTTGATAGAACCAAAGTTTAAATTTTTTTAAATAAACTTCACTGTAGTTTCCATTTATAATAATGACAGTAAACACATTTATATATATTGGGCTTAAATTTTTTTCATTTGCTAAATAAGTAAGTCCTAAAAAAGTATCTTCTCTGAGACTTTATATGAAATTATGAGAAAAAAGACAAAGCAATCTGGTAGGTAGGCCTAGCAGAATATACATAAGCAATCAACATCCCAGAAAAAACAAAGAAATGAATTTAAAAGTAAAATAATTCTTGGGGTCAGTGAGATGGCTCAGCAAGTAAAAGAACTTACTGCTAAACCTGGTGCCCAGGTAACAAATCACTTTGTTCATCTAGGCACAGTGGAACATGCCTACAATCCCAAACACTCTGGCAGGCAGAGGCAGTAGATCTCTATGAGTTCAAGCCCAGCCTGGTCTAAAAAGTGAGTTCAGGACAGCCAAGGCTACACAGAGAAACCCTGTTTTCAAAACCAAACCAAACAAAACCAAATCACTTTATTCATATATTATTCATTATTTACATGGTTAGAATTTCTGGAGACTACTGGATTTATTTCCACATCTCACAACTGAAGAATGAAAATCTGTTATGACTAGAGTCCTTAAAAAGAAAACATCCTTGAAAGCGTAATCACTAGCTAAAAAGCCTCCACAGTCTAAACTCAGGCTCTGAAGCCAGTTCTTGGGGGTGAGCACTCACCAGTTACACCCTCTTGTAGAAGGTCTGTCATTCTGCAGCACGACGACAAAAGTTTAGTGGTGAAGTCATCTAACAGCATTATCTTAAAACAAAGTAAGTCAGGGAAGTGTAAGGATGAGTGTCAACAAAATCAGGGCCCTGGCAATTCCTCTTTCAGCATGCATAGTTGGTGGCTTACTTTCTCAGTACACACACATGCAAATATTTCTACAGGTAAGGAAAAGGAAGATTTCTATTTCTTGTGGAGCCTGTTCATCTTAAGTATATCTAATGTTTAACACCGAGTTTTCAAAAAACATGTGTCATTTATGGAATTACTGCTACAAAGCACTGTGCAAACAGTCTCTGCAGCTATAGTACGATGTATACCCTCCCGTCCCCTAGACAAGGAAACAAGGACGTGTCATGCGGCTTGTACAAGGTGCCACAGCTTAGCAGCAAAGCGAGGTCTGACAGTGAAGCTCCTGGCCCTGGCCCTTGGGAGCATCCTGAGTACAACACGCTGAAGCCCTCCACACAGTGGCAAATCACAGTGTCTACCTTCCATTCGCCTTCTTTCCGGCAATCATCAAACACTGCTGTTTTTATCTCTGTTAAGAAAAAAATGGAAAAAACAAGTTTAGTAATCTAAAGCAACAATTAGAATTATAAGACTATGTAAAAGGTTCAAAATGGCTGAGAAAAAAAATTGCAACTTGGAATGTGCTAAACTGCATAAACTCTACTTATTAAGCTGTAAGTAAAAATGCAACTATATTCAATACCTAACCTGTACAGTTAAACTGTAATATATTCTCAAATGTAAGTGTATAAACATGTCCAGGAGATACTTCTGAAACTATTATCTGATTTCAGTTTTCCTTCTTTTTTAAATCTTAAGAAATAAATAACCCATAGAAAGATCCTGAACTGGCTTGTGGCTAAATTACATCTGACAATCAAATCTGCATAAACAGTTTTCATCCTCACTTTCTTGTTAAAGACACATATAGGCTGGGGCTGGGGAGACAGCTTGGTGGTTAAGAACACTTGATGTTGTTGCAAAGGACCTGGGTTCAGTTGTGAGTACCCCTCCTGCCTCTACCTCCCAAATGGTTGCACTGTAGGCATGCACCACCAATCCCAAGTCTAATTCATTTAAACTTTTCTATTTTTAAATTTATACATCTTCAGCAAATGCTTCTGGGAAATTTACCATCACATTTTTCACACCATGTTTTTAAAAAAAAAAAAAAAAACATTCTAATGATCTAATTAATAGGTGTTATTATAGCATAGTAATCCACAGGGAGGGAAGCTCTATTACCCAAACCATACCTTGGGAGCTGGAGAGACGGCTCAGTGGTTGTGCTCAAGTGGAGTGTCTCACATCACCACAACCTGAGCCTTCCTCTGGCCTCCACAGACAGCTACGCTTTTGTATACATACCCACAAGCACACACATAATTAAAATTAAACATACACCTTAAAATTTTTGTTTCTTTTTTCCAGTTCCTTGAAATTTCTTATGTAACAGAAAATCTATGACATGCTGGTGACATGATCCTTGACTAGCTTTAGCAAGCAGCTGGTCACCAGAAGAACCGTGTTATGACTTCTAAGGAGGCAACAGGGACTAGAGATTGTGTTCAATTACCAGTGGCCAGAGATTTCATCAGTAAGGCCTACATACTGAAGTGTCCATAACCCACCCACTTTCTGAGTCACTGAATGCACCCAGGTGTGGCACTGGTGATACACCCAGATCCACAGGGAGAGAAGCCCTATGACCTTCTAGACCTCAGCCTATCTCATCTGGCTGTTGATTAGTATGCTTTAGAAAACAACAACAACAAAACCAAAAAGTAACCAACCAACAAGAACAGAAAACCTAATAACAGGAAGTAGTTTACTCGAGTTTGTAGGCCTTGCGTTACTGAACCTGAGAGGGAAGGCAGAGCAGAGGCACCCCAACTGTCTTCCAAAGCCAGGAAGTGTAGGAGCATGCACTCCATCACTAACGTATGCTACTTGTACCAGCCTCTGAGGTAGTCTGACAGTTTTGAATCTAGGCCTGCCAAGGCTGTCGCTAAGCAGTGCTAGAATTGAGCTAGCTGCAGGCTATCCATCCCTGAAGAGTTGGAGAACTGGTTAGTAGAAAAGAAAAAAATAATGTATTTGCTATTAGAAGTGTTCCAAGGAAAAGTAGTTAATACTCATCACAAAAAATTGACTTCTGGGGCTGGCAAGATGGCTCTGTAGTTTTTGTTTTTCCACAAGCCTGACAACCTGTGCTCAATCCCCAGATTCAACGACAGGACAAGAAAACCAACTCCCCGAAGTTGTCCTCTGACCTCCAAAGGCACACTGTGGCCTGCTCTATCTTACACATACACTCAACAAATAGAAATTTATAACTTGTGATAGAACTTTTGTAATCAGGAAGATTTTTTTAAGTTAAGTTAACTTTTAACTTAACACTTATGAGATGAAAGTTGAGTGTGATGACATGGTACCTGAATACCAAGTAATTGGTTGGCAGAGGCAGAAGGATTTAGAAGTTCAAGATTATCATCAGCTACATAAAATTGGAGGCCAGCCTGGGCTACATGAAATCCTATCTCAAACCAAACCTAGACACAGCAAAGCAAAACAATGATGGCCGAGGAGGCAGCTCAGTCAAGAGAAGGCGTGTTGTGCAAGCACAAGGAACCAGTTCTGATTCCTCCTGACTCCGAGCATTCCCCGCAGCTATGGGGGAGTGTCTGTACCCAAGTGCTGGGAGGAGGAGGGGAAACGGACAAAGGAGGCTCCCTGGAGCCCACTGGCCGGCCAGCCTAGACGAGGTCCAGGTTCAGTGAGAGAACCTGCCTCAAAAAATAAGGTGGAGAACTACGGAGGAAGACACCTGATGCCCACCTCTGGGCTCTTCCCCACGCACACAGACCCACAAAAAAAAAAAAAAAAGTCAGTAAAGGCAATTATACATATATTGCTTACTAAGTAGACTGTTATCAATTGTTATAAGAGAATAAACAAACAAACAAAAACAAACCTGAAGTATTTAGCCGTAATTACATGAGAACGCAAGTTTCTAGGGTGGGCCAGGCAAACAGGCAGGGGAGGCAGAGTGCAGACACCAAGAGCCTGCTTCCCTTTGTGAGCCGCCTCGCTGCACAGACCACAAGTGAAAGCTGAAGCCACTGCGCATTCCTACAATTACTCTGTTCTCTAAGGCACAGATGCTGCTGGAGCAGAGGTCACAGCGTTAGTCTTGAAACCTTATGCCTGCGCTGCTCCAGATGACAGAACTAGCCGTGTGTGACCACAGAGCCCTGGAAATGGAGCTAGCAGCAGCCAGGTACAGTGGTTCACGCTTGTGAGATTCTGGCACTTGGGGGCTGGCAGGAGGTCTGCTTTGCATTCCAGGCCTGCTTGGGCCTCAGGATGAAATATGACTTAAAATAACAAAATCACTCAAAATGTGTAAAGTTCTGTAGGAAAGAAAATAGTGAGAGAGGACTAGGGCATGACTCAATGGTAGAACAGATACTTAGTATGTGTGAAGCCCTGGTTTGATCCTTAGCACACCAAAACAAAATAGAGAAAGGCTTTGAGGTTTAAAAACAAGGAAATATAAGATATACTATGAATTCTTTTTCCCTGACCTTACACATCCTCATATCACATTAAATATTTTGAATACAGGTTAAACAAAATATACTACAATTAATTTCATTTACTTCAATTATATAAAATTTTACTTCAACTATAAAATTTTGTTATCTCAAGCAGCTTGAATTATAGCTTTACTGTATAGAAAGTATAGCCTGAGACGATAAAGATAGCTACACAGTCAGTGTTAACATCTTAAAAGTAAATAATAAATAACTGAGCTGTGGATGGAGAGATCAGAAGCATTCATCAAAAATGACAGGACTACAGGTAACTTTGAGAGTTGGGGGGAGGGAAATCGCATCAGCTATGACAGAACCTGTATTTCCTTTATACACTAGTACAATGAAAATCACTTAACCTTTCCTTTTGCAACTGAATATGGACCCCAAGACTCAACTCTTTTCCCTTTACTCTGCCTACTCCATCCCTACTCATCCTCAGAGACTACGCTCACCACTAAGTTTCACGTCCATCAGTTCAGTCCTTCAGTTTTCAACATTCTTACAGACCACCTCTCCTGGACCTCATTCAATCACACAATATAGGTTTAAGCATGTACACACCTCAAGTAGACACACTTCCATAAAAACTGCTCTCAATAAAACTAGTTTTATTGTCATTTTCTTAGTCACAGCCATGGGGTTTTTCTCCTTCCCCCACATTCAATCATTAGGCATTATTGATTGCTCTTTGGCATCTGGCATTTTTTGCTGCCACTGACATCAACAATACTGAGTCTTAATATCCTTCTCTGTGGTGCAATACTCTATCTGGCTTTGCTGTTTTCTATCTCCAATTCCTCTGTCTTTTACTTTTCACACCCCTGTTAGTCATGTTCCTGAAACATAATCCACAGTTTATAACACTACCCACCTCAAAAGGCCCTCAAATGTTCACTCTGTCCACTGAAGAAAATCTGAACACTATCATTCAAAACATTCCCACTGACTGGCTTCTACCTACTCTCTAAGCTGATTTTCCACCAGCCCAAATGCTATCCCAACAGCAACCCACTGGCACCAAATACCCACCTGTTCTCACTTGGTTCCTCTAAGGTACAAAAGGAAACGTGTATAATTATAATGCCAAAGACGGAATCGGGAAGGGAGAAATCAAGAACTATGATGGTGCACAACATGAACAATGCCACCAGAACACTTGCATATGACCTCACCACAGAGAAAAACGGGAGAACATGAGAATAATATTTTAGAAACAGGAAATAATCTATGAATAACTAGAGTTTTAAAAGAAAGACATTTAAAAAACTAAACGATGTGGAAACCATGATCAAGGAAATAAGAGGAAAAAAACCCTGCCAGTTTTAAAGGATCTCTATTTTGACTGAAAAGGTAACTAATTTCTAACTGCTCTGCCTCATCTTAATCCATGGCTTCATGACTACTATGCACTGTGACCTAAATCCTGATCTTTAACTCGGCTCATTTTTCCACTCTGTAAACCTTTACATGTGCCTGTGAGACACCTAAACTAGCACCTAGAATCACCATAACTCAGAACAGCCTTTTCCCCTTAGACTCATCCCTTCTTTCTCTTCATCAATAAACAACAATATCAGTACTTAGTCTCCTGGACCAGAATGTCAGTTTGGGATGATTCAAGCTCCTAACCCTCTACTACTCTCATCCATCTTTCTTTACTCCCCTTTTCACAGTCTAGCCTTCTCTGCTGCACTAACATATACAGCCCAACATATACAATGGTAAATACAAAAGCAAAAAAAAAAAAAAAAGTACATGTATGCATGTGAAAATCTAATGAAGAGTCTGAAGGATTCTCTCTTAAACATGAGTGTAAAGCTAAAAAAAAAAAAAAAAAACATTATTACAAATTACTGGATGATAACCTCAGTTCTGGAGAGGCAGAAGCAGGTGGATTCTCAGTGCTAACCAGCCAGCCTAGCCAAAGGAG